GCTATAAGTGAAAAGACAGCGCCTAAGCCAAGTTCAAGCCCTTTCTCCTCCCAAAACAGTAACAATAAAAACCCAGATTCATGAATTTGCCCTCACTGGGTGCTTGTTCATGGCTAGCACTGAGTCAAGCCTCTAGCCTGGTTAATTTGAGATGGAGTCTCTAAAAGCCCAGGATTTTTCTACCCTGGCTGGTTTCAAACACTGGTCCTCTGATCTCAGCCTCCTCAGTCCCTAGAATAGGTTTGAGCCACTGGCACCTGGCTAAAATGACCTGGCTAAAATAACTATGTTGATGGACAGGTACCTAGTGTCTCACAGTGGCTGGCCCTGTGTGCCTAATATGCACAACTAGATAGTAAATTGAGATGAAATGTAAAGTTCCTTAGTTCTAGAGGAACAGATTTCTTTCACTCTGGGTAGTTGGGTTGCTTTTGCCTTTTCAAGGGGAGTAAGACCTCATACTTGCTAGGCAAGTGCTCTACTACTATTGAACTCCACCCTTTCCTCTCTTCTACCTCCCTCCCTCTTTTTCTCCTCTCTTCCTTTTTTCCTTTTTTTTTGGGGGGGGTGTCTTTTGTTGGACTTGAACTCCACCTGAGTACTTTAGCTCAAGGCACGCAAATGTTCTACTACTTGAGCCACAGTGCCACTTCAGGTTTTCTGGTGGTTATTTGGAGATATGAGTCTCATGGACTTTCCTACCTGGGCTGACTTTGAACTGTGATCTCACAGCTCAGCCTCCTGAGTAGCTGTGATTCCAGGCGGGAGGCACCAGCGCCAGGCCCCCTGTTCCTTTTGAGAAAGTCTATGTCCTCCAACACTCGGATCCTTTTGTCTCAGCTTCCTAAATGCTGGGATAAAGGCTTGGTACACCCTAGAAGCACATGTAAAGACCAGTCCCTGTTATTTTCTCTTGGTATCTCTGGGCCTGGCAACCCTCCACCCCAGAGCCCCATTTGACACCCACACCTGGAGCATCCCGACCACCCTGGGCCCATCAGAACAGATAAAAGGAAAGACAACAGCTCTGAGAGCTGAGAGCAAGGCCAGCCCTGGAGAGAGCAGAGCTGTGGGCCCGGGACTCTGTTTCCCTCAGGTGATATCTCTTTCAAGTCATCCCTGAGATTGAGGAAGAGATGGGCCATTCTCTCAACAATGACAGAGACCTTGTGTGCACTTGGATCGAGCTTACTTCCTGTCTCCTGGGAAAGCGTTCCTGTGTTCTGTGCACTTCCATGTTTTCCCATGGACACCAAAGGGCTGGAGTTGTTTCATGTTTATAAGTTATTGGCACCTAAGTCACCCGTAGTTAAGCCCAGCGTCTTAAATGCAGGCTGACACATAGTAGGTGCTGTGTTCTGGAGGCAATCTGTCACCAGTGAGCGACTTCGATCACAGTACCGCTCCGAGAGAGGAATACGCTACACACACACCGCTAGCTAATAAGACCCTGCATGGCTTTCAGCACCCTGTAATTTGGATCTCCAGGAATCGCCTTTGTTGTGGGCGACCAACCACAGGCAAAGCAAGCACCTGCTTCTCCAGCTGGTCCTCGAAAGGAGGACCTCCCGCCGGCGCGACCCCGGTGTCTTTCGGGGACCCTGTGCTACGCTTCCCGGGATCTTGGGAACCGGGAGGCGCCCCCGGGCCCGCAGCCAGGGTCCGCCCCGGCAGTTCCCAGCCGCGGGAACGTGCGTGTCCCCAGATGTCCCCGGCCGGGGCCAGCATTCTTTGTCCCTTCGGACTGTGTAGGGGGGGCCGAGGGCTGCGTCCAGGACCTCGTCCGGCACCCCGGCCGGCGGGACCCGGGGCCTGAGTCACGGCTGCCACCCCGGGGCCACCTCCGCTT